TTTTTATTTCTATACTGATAATATCTCTTACAGTCTAAGTGCAACAGCTAATATGTATTGCACTTTAAAAGTATATAGCTTAATTCTGAAATTTTGTGGGATTTTCCAGTTATATTCTGCTGGTTTTTATTTCATTTCATTGTGTCAGGAATCACACTTTGTGTGATTTTTTAAATTATTATTTGTATGATTTGTTATGTGGCCAAGAACATGATCTATCTTCACAAGTTTTCCATGTGTACTTATAAATAAGGTGCTTTTAGATGGTCAGATGGAGTAATTATGCATATTTTTATAATGATAGAAATGAGTTCAGTTGTATTACTTTTCTTTTTATGCATCTATTGAAATAATCATGTTTAATTTGTCTCCTTATCTTTTAATATGGTCAATTATATTGTTTGCTCACCATGTTAAATTCACCCAGTATTTCTGAGATGATCCCTAATTATCTAGTTAGAGATCTAGCTAGTTTTTTTTCACACTTAACTCAACATGTAAAAAACTTTCTTTGATGTTAATTGAAAATATATCAGATATTTATTTACCTACATTACAAATTCTAATTGAAAAATGTATTTAATCTCATTAATAGCTTAGAGAAATATATTTTTTCCTTTTGTGTTTTATGGCATCATACATTTACTCTAAATTTAAATTTTTGGCAATTGATGAATAGATATATATGTAAATAATTTCTAGTTTACTTTAGGCTCAGGAAAAAATACGGTTTAAGTCCATGGTCTTGTTTTTGTGAAAAATCCTACTACATTTTGTTCATAATTTTCAAGAGTTATATTCAATTTATCTGGGGTTGGATTTTAGAAGTGCAACATTTTGTAATTATTTTTGTGGGTGTGTGTTTCTGTGTGTTCAGCATATGGACATCTTGAGAAACAGTAATTTGTATATGATCTCCTGCTTGTCATCTGGGCTGCTACTACATTTGGAAATGTATGTATTATACAAAATCACATTAGAATGGTTTCTTTTAGGCACCTAAGTCTACCCTGCCACTTTTTATTAAGTTTGCCACAGTTGAGAAGGTGCTCAGTTAAAATCTATTTAATCTCACCGTATGCCAATTTTTTTTATATTAAGGAGTTAGTCATGTAACCTGAGCAGAAATGACAAGTATAATTGTCAAGTTATACAATAAATTATCTTGACACACTATACATACTGTTTTGCATGTGATAAATTGCACATTGTGCTATAGTATAAAGTGCATAGATTTCAGGGATATATCTATTTTCAAATGATGCTTCACTACTGAACAGCATTATGAACTTGGATAAATTTATTACAGTTTGCTTATATGTTAAAAATGATATTTGCATCATAAAAATAATTATATGAATAATACAAATTTTGTTAAGATATATTATTTTGAAAATTAAATGCAATCACATATGCTTCCCCTGAATGTTCTTCATTTTTCATTGAAGTACTAGAGTAGATTTCTACTGCTTATTTTTTTTTTTTTGAGACAGGGTCTCACTCTGTCACACCTGGGCTAGGGTGCCATGGCTGTCACACCTGGGTGAGAGTGCCATGGCATTATCACAGCTCACTGCAACCTCAAACTCCTGGGCTCAAGTGAGTAGCTGAGTCCCTGAGTAGCTGCAACTACAGGCTAACCACCATGCCCATCGACTATTGCTTATTTAGGAGACAAATTTACTCTACATATAATTTCATCCAGGTACATATTATTTAAAAAATTTTATAACATGTTTTTGAGACATTTAAAAAAAAACAGTTTCTATAAGAATGCTCTTGACTAAAGGTGCTAGTGTTTCCCAAGATGTAATTCACAAAGTGCTGAGTTAATATTAGGTTTAAAAAAATTAAATTTACCATTTATTTGGGGATTTCTTTTAGACACATTAGCAAAAGGAAGCAGTAGATTAACTAGGTCATCAGGGAACTTCCTGCCTTGTGTATATGAGTACTCTATCTTTTTGGTCCTTAGTCTTTGTGTTGCTGTGTTGTCATGGTGAAGTCATCATCCCGCTGCAGACCCTGAAACCAAATGCCATACCCTTCTTTTTCAAAAGTGTGTCTTCTACTTAAAACAAACTGTACTCTTGTCACATGGCACTTTGATACATGACTAAATTTTTTTTTGAGAATGGTTAACATTGTTTTGCTTAGCTAAAATATTTGCATGTTACCAGAAAACTCTATTTATTTAACCCTAAAGTGTGACCAGTGAGACAGATCAATGACTAAAAACATTGAGATACAGAGATATATAGATATTATGTAGATAGAATATCCTTTCTTTCCCTGAAATCAAATTCTTTGAGTTCTTTGAGTATTGGGTGGTACCCTTTCAAGTGTTTCTTGTTTATGGATATGAAAGAAGTATCAAACCAGTACCTGATTATTTCAGTGCAAATTAATCATATTAATTAATGGAAGTTGTAATTTGATTCCCTTTACCTATATTGTTCTCAAAAATATAATAATTATATAACTGGTTATTATATTTACAGTCATTAAAATAGCTCTTGTTTATATTTATTTGCAGTTTCAGGCTCAAATGTGACTCATACTCTTAGAATTGTTTTCCTTGACCTTATTTATAATATATGTGTATTTGGGTGTGTTTGAAATAAAGTTCCTATATTCAACACATTTATGGACCATTTTAACATTAGAGAATCTTTCAAAATTTTCTGTCATTGGAAAATTTTAAAGTACCTAGCAATTAATCAATGTACTTCCTGTTCTACATGAAAGATAATACCAATTTTTAATCTGTTGGGACTACTGAGATTGTCTTAATGCGGTGAAATTAGTTGGAATTAATTAATATCAAGCTGTTAAATATTTACATAAATGTCTTTTGACTTTTCTGCCCTAACACATTTAGATTTCAGTCTATATTCCTTTTACCCTTCAACCTTTCATATTTCATTTTAGTTCTTCTTTGCTTCAACAGTCAACTCATGTGTTCTAACTTAATTATTTGTATCACAGGGATGCAATCTTGTGCTTTGACAACCTTTATGATTTTTCATCAAAATTGTCCATAATTATTAATTACTATTTATTAATTACTTTTTATTAATGTATTAATTTCACTATCCTTGGTGTTATTATGACACATATTTTCTTATTTGACATATACTTGGAAGTATGTATTACTATGAGCAGCAAATTTCATCAGGATCCATTTGTCACCTAAGATATAATTATAAAAATAATGAAAATATATTATGAATTATGATAAGCATTTTGATAAGAATAAATTGTACATTAAAATGATAACACTGAATAAGTAGTTAATCCCTTAATAATATACTATCTTTAAAGCATATACACTAGGGATTCATCATCAAAGATAAAATGATTTTAAAAATATAAGCAATGCCCTAGATAATGCAGGAGACAGTGGTATATTTTCTCAGGATCTTGGATATCCTTATAAGAGTTTCTCTGTTTTGGTTGATTGTATATGTTTGTAGTTGTATATTTGAAATAATGAAGTCAAGCTATAAAAATAGGCAATGTGTGGAATTGTAAATCTCTACTGCCTTACTTTTTTTTTCTTCCAATAGAGTTAAACTTCACTTTGCATCAAACTCTTGCAATCTAGCTATCTTTATCATTCACCTTTTGCACAAATAAAATTGACTCATAAAATGACAGAACAGTTTGTTTCTCAGTGAGCAGATGTGGGCATACATTACATGGCATTCCATCTGTGACGATCATATATCTCTATGGCTCATAAAAAATCATTGGTTCTCCTAAAGAAATATTTACTAGTTGAATATTCTCCACCAAGAATCCAGAGCTGAGCTAAATAAAATCACTTCCTTAAACACAATGCTTAGGGATCTTTTTAAGGCACTGCAGTCTGGTGTGGAAAGGAACACGGAGTGTTTCTTGCTGGACATGCAGGGGTTTACTGGGGCACCATGGGTGTCTTATGCGTATGCTGTTCTATTTTAATTAATACATAAAATAAATATTACAGAATGATACACATATATGTACATCTATTTAATATAAAATCTGTCAGATAGAAAATTTGAAAAGAATGTTTGTAAAACAAAACGTAAAGTGGAGTAAAAACTGCATTGAGTAAGGACAAAAGACTAAAAAGAAAATGCTTTCAAACCAAGACCAAAGAAAATGGGTTTACTGAAATCTGCAAAAAATTCATCTCATGAGTATGTGAGTCACCTGCCTAGGAAAATAAGTTGTTGTATTGAAAAAAGAACACTGCTGAAGGGGGATCAAATGAATAGAACAAAAACTATGGAAAAAAGTTTTAAATCTTTAAACAACACTTACTTTATTCAAATGAGTCTCCATAGTTGCTGAGAAAAATCCTAGTGTTGAATAAATGTCTGATGAATTCAAAAAGAAGAAAAAACACAAGAGTTAAAAGTCAACTTCTGTGTGGCAAATTAGCCATAAAATTATCTGACCTCTTTAGTAGAGATAAAATCCTATGCACAGAGATAATACGTGTATTATTTATCTATTGCTACATTACACATTGTCTCAAAATTTAATGTCTTAAAACATTACACCATTTTCACTTCTCAGTTTCAGTGATTCAAAATCTATAAATGATTTTGCTGGGTGTCTTTAAATCTAGTTCATGTTCTCTCATGAGGCTGAAATTAAGATGTTAACAGTGCTGAGCCTGAAGGCTTAACTGAGTAAGGATCTGGCTTCCATCTCACTTACATGATTGGTAGCAAGACTGAATTCTTCAAGGACCATTTGGCAGAGGGCTTTGGTTTCTTACTGCATATTGGTTGTAGATTTTCCTTAGTTTCTTGACACCTAGTCTTCTTCAACATGGCCACTTACTTCATCAAAGATAATAAGCAACAAAAAGAAAAGACTGCTATCAAGAAGGAAATCATAATCTTTGTAACCTAATCAGTGAAGTGGCATCTCAACATTGCTGCATTCTACTGATTAGAAGCAAGTTACTTAATGGAAAATAATTGCTTAAGGCAGAAAATATCTGAGGTTCGAAATCATGTGAGGTCTTAGAGCCTGACTGCCACAATAGCAAAAGCCATATATTTACAGGTGGCCAGGGATTAATTGTTGACATAGTTATACCTGCTGCCTTCCTCTTGCCCAAGCCTCTGCTTCTTGTTAATTTACCAGAATTTGGGAGACACTTGAAGAAAAAATTCAAATTAGTCAATTATTAGCCCTAATAGAGTGCTTAGGGAGAAACTGAATTCTATTTACATAATAAAAAATTTGTTAAGGACAAAGATTATGACTTCTATATACCTTGCTATCCTATCCAGTAATTTATAGCAATGTTTATAGTTAATATTATGCACCCTAATGGAATGACTCAAGGTTTAGATATTACATGTAGATTTGATTTTTCTTTTTAATTCTTTTTTTCACAAATGCATTAGAAATGAATAGAAAGATTCTCCTCTAAAATCTGGAAAAAGACAAAGATGTCCACTTTCACAAGATCTGTTCAACATAGTACTAGAAATCCTATCCAGAGGAAAAAAAAAAAAAAAGAAAGAAATCCTATCCAGAAAAATTAGGCAAGAAAAAGAAAGGACATCCAAACTGGAAAGAAGGAAGTTAAATTGTCCTTGTTTGGATATGAAAGAATCCTATAAATAGAAAACCCTATAAAAAATTTTAGAGCTGACAAATGAATTCAGTAAAGTTGCAGACAAATCAACATATAAAACGTCAGTGGCATTTGTATACAACAGCAAACTATTTGAAAAAGAAATCAAGAACTCAAGCTCATTTACAATAGCTACAAAAAATATATTGATGAGTAAATTTAATGAAAGAGGTGAAAACTCTCTACAAGGAGTACTATAAAATATTGATGAAATAAATTGAAGAGGACACTGATAAATTAAAATATATCCCATGGTCATGAATTAGAATAATTAATATGTCAACACATCTATACTCCCCAAACCAAACCACTCTAGATATTCAATACAATCCCTAGCAAAATATCAATGACATTGTTCACAGAAATGGAAAAAAAAATTACTAAAATTTGTATAGAATCACAAAAGCCCCAAGTAACCAATGCAGTCTTGAGAGAAAAAAAAAAAAAATCCACAGGTGGAGGCATTACACTACCTGACTTCAAAATATACTACAAAGCCATAGTAACCAAAACATCATGGAATTGGAAAAAAAAAATACATAGACCAATGAAAAACAATAGCAAACCCAAAAGTAAATCAATGCATTTACAGCCAATTGATTTCCACAAAGGGGCCAAGAACACACATTGAAGGAAGTACAGATTCTTTAATAAGGAGGGCTGGGAAAACTGAATATCCACATGCAGAAGAATGAAACTAGACCCCTGTGTCTCATCATTTACAAAATGAATTCAAAATTAATTAAAGACTTAAATGTAGGACCCCAAACTATGAAACTACCAGATAATGACATATAGGAAAACTTCATGACATTGATCTGGGCAAGAATTTTTAAAATAATACTGCAAAAGAACAGGCAGCAAAAGCAGACAAATAGGATTACATCAAAATAAAAAATATTTTACACAACAAAGGAAATAATTAATAGGGTAAAATGACAACCTACAGAATGGGAGAAAATATTTACAAACTATGCATCTGACAAGGGATTAATATAAAGAATATAGAGGGAACTTAAGCACTCAATAGCAAAAAAACCCAAATAATCTGATTTTAAAAAATGAGCAAAGGATCTGAATAAACATTTCTCAAAAGAAGACATACAAGTGGCCAAAAGATACATGAAAAATTGCTTAACATCACTAATCATCAAGGAAATATAAATCAAACTATAAGAAGATATCATCTTGCCCAAGTTAGAAAGGCTTTTATCAAAAAGACAAAAAAATAACAAATGTTAGTGAGGATGTGGAGAAAGGGGAAGTCTTATGTATTATTGGTGGGCATGTAAATTTGTCATAGCCATTATGGGCAACAGCATGGAAGGTCCTCAAAAAATACAACTATCATATGACCCAACAATCCTACCACAGGGTATATATCCAAATAAAATGAAATTAGTATACCAAAGAGATATCAGTACCTCTGTGTTTATTGCAGCACTATTTACAGTAACCAAGATATGGAATCAACCTAAGTGTCCATCAACAGATAAACAAATAAAGAAAATATGGTACATATACACAATAGAATATTATTCAGCAATAAAAATGAAGGAAATTCTGCCATTTGCAACAACATGGATGAACCTAGAGGACATTATGTTGCATGAAATAAGCCAAACACAAAGGATGAATACCTCATGATCTCACTCATGTGAAATCTAACGAAGTTGAGCTTATAAAATTAGAGAGTAGAACAGTAATTACCATTGGTTGGAAAGAGAGGGAAGAGTGGAGGATTGGGAGAGTTGGGTTATCAGGTACAAAGTTATAGTTAGAGAGGAGAAATAAGTTTCAGTGTTCTACTGAACAGTTCAGTGACTCTAGTCAACAATAATGTATACCTCGAAATAGCTAGAAAAGAAGATTCTGAAAGTTTTCACCACCCAGAAATGACAAGTGTTTGAGGTGAAAAATATACTAAATACTATGATTTGACTATTATGCAATGTATACATGTATCAAAACATCACATTGTACTCCACAAATATATACAAATATTATGTGTCAATTAAAAATAATATAAAACTTATTTTAAAAATCTCTTTCTGGTTCTCTCTCTCTCTCTTCCTCTCTCTCTTTCTCTTTCTTTCATAGAGTTAGATTCATGTGAGTTGAGTTCATTTGTGATAGAACTGTAATCACAGTATATTTGAGAATATATCCCTATTCTGGATGCTCTTACGTTCTAGCCACTTGGCTTTATCCTTATTTCACCGATGGATAAAATGATATTTGTAAAGTTTTAGCCACTTGCCCAAGATCAGAATACTAGCTAGGGATAGTGTCAGTGAGGTCTTAAGCTCATGTCCAAATGACTACCAGGTAGTGTCTTTTGTCATTACCCCAGTAATTCTCAAAGATGACCACTCATTAGAATTACATGTCATGCTTTTTGCCTGTTTGTTTTATTTTTTAAAATACAGATTCCTGACCATTATCTAGAAATTCCAAAAGAACAGCTATGATGCAGAGAGTGAGCATCTATAATATATAGTTTTTATTTTACTACAATCTACTAATATTCAGCTGGACTTAAGCTCTATAATTCTACGAGCTCTCTTTAAATTGTACTGTATGGCTTCACTTTGTCCTATGATAAACCAACTATCAAAATGAATCATTCTGTAAATCATCTGCACCATATATTTTTGCTAATCACCGACTATGGGAGAATAGAGCTGGTGGATCTGACTTACCAATTGGAACAAAAATTAAACAGTCCATAATATAATAGACTATCTTGTGTATTTTTTCCCAACTTTGACTTTTCTGAACTTGGGATTTAGAGTGGCTGGCCTTATTCTAGAACTTTGTGTGCCATAATTAGCCCATCAGCCAAAGTGCACTATGGAGATTGGGGTGATTTTGATTCTGCAGGTAGTTGTTAAATTCTAAGATAGATGGGCTACATAAGACCCTTTCATACAAACCCTCTGCAACAATGAGCCCAATTTCCACAATTCTTTCATTCATGTATCCCTATTGGATATAAATACAATGCTAATAAATCAGTGACAATAATCTGCCATAAATTCTCTGTTTCTCCAAGCCAATTAAGTTAATATAACTCTAAGCTTTCCCACAGTTAGCAAAAGGGTTCTGATGTAGGAGAATGGTAGCATGGAGATTATAGGTATCTGAAAGTGGATCTGAAAAAGAGTTAAGGAACTACATGAAGAGAGAAATTTACCCTTCTTTTCATGTGCTCTTGATTTGCTATCTCTTGGAGAAAATTGGGATTATAGTGTACTTTTAAAAATCAATGAAAAAAGGATTAGGAGAATTTAAATTTTAAAATTTTGTTAAATTAAGAAGGAATTTATAAGGGCTGGTAAAATAAAAGCCTAAGGATAATTTCAATGAGAGTAACTGCTGTCAAAAATTAGGAGAGTAAAAATATGCTAGAATGACTCTTAGGAAGGATGGCTTAGATAAAAATCTGTATCTATCTCCCTGAAGCAAAATTTCTTACACTAAATAAAATCTAAAGCAGAGAAAAAGTTGGGACCTTGCCAAGATTTTTTTTGTTCGGCTCAAGTCAGTATGCATGCAGCAGCATATTGTAGGGAACATTTTGACTTGCTTAAGAATTATGAGAGCAGACAATCCGTGGAAGATGTGGGAGGACTGACTAAGGGAAGATGGCAGCAAAACACTAGGGAAAACATAAGCCACAGAGAACCTTTGAAGCAATTACTTAAAGATAATATAAAAGGTGCCCTGAAGCTGACACATTCTGTAATGGAATAGTTACCTGTATAACAAAAGGTAAGGCCAGGCAGCATGTACAGATGAACTAGAAAAGTCATCAAGCAGGCTATTTTTTACTGTATTTTTGCTAATGTAAATGTGTATCCTTAGTTGAGAAGCTAAAGAAAGCATTTTTAAAAGAATCAAAAGTTAAAATTTAGAAAGTGTTTCCTTTTAATAATATCTATCATCACCTAAATTGTATACAAATAAAATACCATGAAGGGATTGAAATCTTTGAAGACATAGGATGCTGGATTAATTAGTTTAAACTCATGATCTAATCAAAGAAAACAGAAAGACTGAAGAGATAGAAATAAAGAATTTGAAGCATTGGGCAGATGAACGATTTTAATTTAGAAATTGAGCTATGGAGTTGAGGTTTTTGATTAAGGAGATCTAACCAAATTTTGCCTAATATAGCCTTCATGTCCC